CATTTTGCTATGAACTTCAAGAAATTCCGTTTTTCTGCAAGGATTGTGTGGTATTTGATTGACCGTGACAGGAATCATTTAGAGAGTTTTCTTCACAACTCCAACAGTAGATTTGTGCAACATGCATGCTATCAACTTCGTGAGTATGTTCAGGCGCGTGTTGCAGTTTCTGATCCCTTGTATGAGATGATCAAGAAGGAAGAGTTTGAACGCCAATACAATTCCAAGTTTTTGGAGGCGATTTCTTGCTCTCGTGTTGTAGTTGAGCCTGTAAGTTCAGGGACGTATGAGCCATCATCGAAGCTGAACTTAAAGGTACTACAAGACATCCTGAAGGGTATCTTCAAGATCCAGAAGGATGAGGAGCTTGCCAAAGAACGTGATGAAGAAGAAGAACAGGCAGCTCAAAACATCTCAAACTTGTTGGCAGATGATATGGAGCTTGATTTTGATGATGATGATGTTCCAGTATGGCGCTCCATTGTCGACAAGTATAGAGGAGGTGATCAGGTGCTACAGGGAGAAGCTGTGAAGATTACTCACCTGTTCAGGGATCAAAAGGACAATGAGAAGGCGACAGAAGCTTTCAGTTCAGAGAGGACAGATTTTTATGAGACCTCAGGACCTCTTCCAAGATCCGAGGGAGAAAATCTTGTAGAGGACTTGCTCACCAAGGATGTTGCAGAACAAGCTTTTGAAGCAGGTGAAGAAGTTCCTCCTTATACAAGAGTCTCCACTATCGCTGGTGAAGTTTATACTGGAAGTAGAACACTTCTAGAAGATGAGAATATGGAAGAGGAAGTTCCTGAAGAAGATCCTGCAGTTGAACCTGGAAAGGAAGAAGAAATATTTGATGAGAATGCAGGTGTTTTTCCTTCAGAGGAACCAAAGATGGAAGTGGACCAGGAGGAAGCCAAGGAAGAGTCAACACCACACTTTCTGTCAAGAGAGATAGGTGAGGACTCGACTGCATCGTACTTACCATCAGGTGAGACGGATGCTAACCTTGATGATACTTCAGGTCAGCGGAAATCTAAGAAAAGCCGCCTGAATAAAATACCTGATCCTCATTTTCATGAAGAAGTTCAGGATGATGCAACCATGGAAGAGAAGAAAGAGGCGGTGGAGAAAATAAAAGAGGTCAGAGAGGATGATGGAGAGAAGAAATTGGAGGCTGAAATCCAGGAATCTTTTCCATCTGAAGTAGTTGTTGAAAAGGATACAACAAAAGTTGACAATACCTATGAGCTGCATACTTCACCTTTGAAGTTGCTTGGAGAGCTTACAGGAGATCCAGGTATTGGCTTTTATCAACTATGCTTCAGGGAAACTCATGCAAGATTGCTGAATCATGTTTGTTTCAGAAAAGGTGAGATTTCCCATCCTCATTATCAGTCGAGAATCAACGAGAATGATTTTGTTCGATCAATTCGTAATATCTGTCCAGTACCTCCACCTGATTGTTATGAACATGAACCAGAGCATGATTTGAAGAGATTCTTTATCAATGATGATCGCATCATTTATTTGGATGGCAAGTATCAGGTCGATCCAAAGGCCCTTGAAAGGGCAGGACATGCTCGAGAAGAATTGGAGGAGACGAAGAAGGAACTTAAGAAGGAACTGGAATCATATGGTCCCAAGGGACCCAGTTGGGACTTTGTCACCTTCTATGAAGAGCTGTGCAGAAGGTTCCTCAAGGGAAGAATAGAAGAACCATATGGAACTAACTTATTGGCCAGCTCAGAGTCCTTGACATTTCTATCCTGGAACTATGGCAACATGGTTCGTGGTCAGAAGTACACCACACCAAGGTTTCTCCAAGGACTTGATAGTGCAATGAGGCCACGCAAACAGAGCGCCATGTCACTTCAGAATGAGCAATTTGAGAACAACCTTTTCTTCAACATGCTCTTCTTTTTACGTGCACATGTCGTGATTCTCCAGGAAGCTCATCTTCTTGTTCCTGCCAAGGAATTTATTGAGCAAAAGAATTGGACAGTTTGTTTCAATGATTGGGAGAATCTTGCAGTGATGGCTAGATTGGCACCAGGTGGATATGTCAAGATCATTGCTGGACATGATCAAGAACTTGGTCACTGTGAACAGCGTGATGTAACTTGGGCTATCTACGAGATTTGTTTTGGAGAAATAAGGCCTCGTCAAGATTTCAAGGATGCAGACTTTGAATTTGATGACTATGGTCCTGAGGACAAGCGTGTTCCACTTACTCGAGCGAACATGCATACCATCAGAGTCTGTAATTATCATGTTGATACACACCGTGCTGTGGATGCCCACCTACTGACAGGAGAACAGACAGCATTGATGCTTTACGAGTGTTTTGTCTATGAGGTGGACATCATTTCTGGTGATGCAAATAGTTTGGCCTACAGAATGTCTGGGTACAAAAGGCAGCCAATGGCTAACTACTATTACAGCACCATGCAGCATTGGATCCGCAGGTTTTCAGAAGCTCGTGTAAAAGCAGATCCTGGTATCAAAGCACCTATTCCCAGAACATTTTACAGTTCAACTTCACAGGTCCTCAAGAAGTGTGAAGTTTACTTTGATAAACTCTGGGAAGAATATTCTACTGTTGAAAAAGAAGAATACCAAGGATCACAGCTTGGCGATACATGTTTGTCTACCATTGTTGAATGGGGTCATTCAATGAGTGAAGAGGAATATGAAAATTCCACAGTGAGCACGAAGGAGTTCATCTGTAATTTTTCAGAGAACTTTGCTATGATTGACACGGAGGTTATGTGCTCAAGGCCCACTGACGAGGACAGTCATGGTCCAATGTTTATTTCACTCAGACCAGCTTCCCTTTCATCTGGAGACAGAAGACAGTATCGCATGGGAGCAACTCTTCATGAGGCGAAACTGCGGAGGAAGGAGAAACAGAAAGAGAATAAAAGGAAAGGAAGGCTGCCAACTTCTGATCAAGCAACTTCATCGTTTGCAGCGGCATAATTCCTGAGCGAAGGCTGAAATTTAAATGATGGCTAGGAAGTGAAGATACTTCTGGTTACAGTTGATACTTTGCTTCCAGGCTTGACTTTAAGTTGCCAGGCTGAAGTTTTTATAAATTATGGTTTGCAATGAGGAGAAACTTTTATCAAAGAAGATACTCCTGCATTCCAGGTTTATACGCTTTAGCATGCAGATAGGTATGGACAGTTTTGCATAACTGATGATATCTATCACAGCCGCTCTTATGAAGTGACCTCTAATGGACAACCAGTCATGGTTGATGATTAAGTCATTTCATGATTTGCAATTGTAGTGCAAGATTTTTTTTTGTACATACATTTGCCGGTATCTCCTTCTTGTGTTTTTGATGTGAATGTGAAAGAGAGTCCTTTTGATGCAGTTTTATTTTGTCTGTGAATGAAAGCGGTCGAGACCACGTCACGAGAAGATTATTCCTCGGACCGTACGCTCCTTGCATTTTGCAAGGCATTTTAATTAATTGCATTTGTGCGGTCTTGAATTTTTAGTTTCTTCTTACGCGAGTGTCGTTTGATTCTTTTATAGGTCTCTGTAGAGAAAAAGCCGCTTTCCCTTTTAGTTTGATTTAGCTCAGGCCATAAAGAGCTAGTGAGCGCCGGTACATGGTATCTCCGCCTGCGAAAAGTACAGTCTCCAGCCGAGGTACATTATCGTTTTGATTTTGTACTTGAGGTGAGTCAGCTATTGCTCCCTCACTGTATTTAGTAGCTATGAGATTACCTTCTCTAAAGTGTGAAACACACTGGATTAGGTAAGTACATGGCACCGTAGTTTTCTTTTAAGTTGTCAGAGCTAGCTGGACTGTTTTAGCCTTGCAGTAGAAAAAGAGTATGCGACATACGCAATCAGCTAGGAGTGGACATGAATCTTGTGCCTGCTGAAAAGTAGAGCCTACCTGTACAGGGTTCCACTCCAACAGCCGATATAGTGTGTCCATGCTTGACTGCTTCAAGGCTCAAAGAGCAAGAGGATAAGACTCTGCGCATAAAAGACACTAGCGGTCTGCACCTCTACCGTGTACGCCCTAGTCACTCTTTCACCCCTTCCCCCCCTTCGAATTGATTTCTCAATACAACCCCCCCCCCCGGGGAATTGATTTTTCAATACTGACCCCCCCCTCCTAAATTAAATTCTCTCCTGGAGAACGTCTTCGTGAGCCTCTCATGATTTCAGGATAGTTGAAACCCTCTTGAACATTCAGAAAGAGTGCATATGAAATTCAAATCACGAAAGGTGTTCCCCGAGGGGATACATACCTAGAGTTTGTTTTGTGAAGCACGTCAATTCTCTCCTGGGGACCGTCTTCGTGAGCCTCTTATGGTTTCAGGATAGTTTAAATCCTGTGACGCTCCGATTTAATGCTCACCGATGATCTGAGCCATGGGGCAAGTTTGTTTTCCTAAGAATCTTTGTGAACATTTCGAGAGCATATGTTTGAACATTTAGAGTGCATATGAAATTATATTTACGGAAGGTCGCCTCTGAGGGGGTAAATCACCATGTCGAACATTGCATTTTTGTTCCTGCCTCTCACGTTCTCTTCTCTTCCCGCTGTCCTACCTTTCGTGTCTCCCTCCTCTCAAGTAGAATGGTCTTTTTGCCACTCTGCGGCGTCATGAATGCGCCCCAAATGTGGTCAACGGATACTTCGAAGTGAAGTTGTCCCAACAACCTCGGCCCACCATGGACTCCTGTTTCACAGCAGAATTGTTTGAAGAAGAGATTCTTTCTCTAGAGAAGAGACCTCCCTGCCACTGCCAGCCGTGCGCCAGCCACGGTCCGGGCGTAGTGGGGCGTAGTATGACAAGAATCCCACATCTAATATGCCGCTCTGAACATTCCCTATCATCCCCTCTCTAGAGACTTTGCCTTGGGAGATTGATTCTGGAGAAAGAGAGTCTATCATGTCCCCTGCAATTCACCATCAGTGCCTCAGTGCCGTGCTCAAGACACGTGGACGAAGCCTCAGCCCCACCGTGGAGGTGGGCCCCTTCGTGGTGGCCGCGCGACTGGATCGAGATGTGATTCAGAGTGACCAGGCGCGATTCGAATCGATCGGGTTGGGTGGAAAAGATCTCTTTTGGTGAGGACGGAGACTGTGCGGAGAATTCTTTTTGTTTTGGATGAACCTTTACAGAAGTGTCCTTTCATCACGGTTTCCTCTTTTGGCGGATTGGGGGAAGTGTTCATTTTCCCACCTCATGTCCCTCTTTGGAGGTCAATGTTCAGGTGTTTTAAGTCTAATTCTAATTCTGCTGTAATTGCTGTAATTTTAATTCTAATTCTAATCTATTTATTGTTTCTAATAGCAAACATTGCTCCTAGTAGTAAGGCCAGGAGCCCCTAGAAGCGTCCTTTGCTCCAAGGTTTTTGGAACCCAATGTTTGCATGTTCGCCCGTCCGTCACAAGCGAAGCTGACGAGTGCCAGTCGTCCGTGTCACGGACTTGTGCGAAGCTCGAGTGCGACGTTCCAAGCGACCCTTCAGACCCCCCAAAACACCATGGCATGGCTTCGTTTGGGGGGGTGGTCTTTGGGTTCCAAAAGAGCTGGCAGGTCTGTCTTCCCTACGAAACCAGTGATCTGGCCACCCAAATCTCCGCCGCAGGTGAAGGTCGGCAGCATGGCCGACGCGTGCGGACCGACGGACCGACGGTGTGACCGTCCGCGACGGATGTCTACCCATGCTGGTGAATCATACCCCCCTGGCCCGACATGAAGTGGAACGCCTCTTTTTCAGGCCTGGGGGGTTGAAATATATTCATCATGATTCTACAGGATCGTAGAGGGTTTGCAGGGGTGACAAACCAAAGCTTCTAGAGTTTCGAGAGATGTCCCAGGTGAAGTGTTGGGCCGTTTTTTGGAGAAACCTGGTTTGGCCTCCTGATCTTGCGAAGAAACATGATGGTGCCCTCCTATGAAACTAAGGAGCACTCCAAGCACCATTATTGAATTGCAGCCACAGTGTGGGCTAATTGTGGCACTGCAAAGATATGTTTGCGTCCACCTTTCCCTCCCCTACACTGCCAGGTACTTGGCCAGCGGACTGGAAGGGGAAGACTATGAGCTCCCAGAAAGCGCTAAGCAGGCGTTCGAAACTTAGCAGACTGGTCCAGTAACCAACAAATGCGTCCAGGAGGGTCTCCATCCTTTGCGGGGACACAGTGGACACATCAGACATTTGGGTGATATTTCTCGACAGTCAAGGATTGCTGGGGAGATTTTCCACCAAAACAATCCAAAACACGACAAGAAGATCCACTTCCACATGAACACTTGGGTGAACAGTGAACACTTACTTAAGTCAATGTCCTTCACTTGAGTTGATCGGAATTTCTTAGGGTGCTCTGGATTTGCATTTCGTTGATTGAGGGCTGGCTTGCTTTGGAGGGAGCAATGGCACTGTTTGTATACTGTAAATCCATTCCACCCAGACTGTATGAATCCATCCTTTTGGGGTAATTATGTCTATTTTGCGGGCATCCGGTGTAATGTGAGGTTCAAGAGGAGAGGATATGACTCTGGCACTATTCAGCACTTCGTTCACGATCTGTGGTACATGTGCGCCTGCGTCCTACTAAAGGATCCTCTTTGACATTATTTGGTCAAAATGACCTGGGAGCCTCCAATCGACCCAGCTCCTTTGAGCAATCCTGGATCAAGGAAATTCCTTGAACTTCCACAAAAAGGACACACATAGATCCACATGGAAGTTCAATCTATATATCTGGATCTATAAATTTGGATCTATATATTTGGTCCATGAACTCAACCAACCCAGCTCGAGCTGAGCTTGGTGTGTCTAACTGTACATGCTCTGTTTGGGGGACACTCATCATTTCGGCGGACTGCACAGCCCAGGTGGACCGCTGAAAGTGCCTCCGTTCGAGCACCCAGGAGGAAGGAAAAGGGGTCCAATGGTGTGTGAGGTGGATGATCCCGGTAGTTTTAAACAAAGTAATCTAAGAACGTTAACTTAACATTAACATGTAAAAGGCTGTCTAGAATCCAGCTGGAAAAGCCTGTTCGTGAGAAAAGGAGGGAGCCAAGGTCAAGCCAAGCCCCTTCTTGCAGGCACTTGAGCTAGTCGCCCAAGCACCGAGGTTCCGCGTGTTGCTGTTGGTTCCAAATGTCGACGGAAGTGCCACTTCATCACACCTTGAGGTCCAGGACAGTGAAGAAGCAGACCCAGCTACTTGGCCCACAAGACCCACGATGCGAGACCCGCCGCGAGACCCGCGACGCGAGCACGCGGTCTTACTCCGAGCCGTGCTTGGAGGGCTCGGCCCAGGAAGAGACTTCACCAAGAGATTCGGATGGATCAACCAAACTGGAAGCTGAAACTTAGTTTATATGTTTACCCGATTCTAATTAAACCAACCTGGAAGGTTGGGAGATTTCAATTTGACTACAGTAGGTAAACCTGATTGACCCCGCCCCACTTTTTCAAGCCATGCTTTTTCCACCGCCCTCCTGTGCGCTCTCCTTTTCTCCCCCCCGCCCTCCGCACGTGGGCCGTGGCCGAGGACCAATTAATCAAGAAGGCGCAGCAGACGGTGGGGCCGGCGCCTAAGACGGGTTTCGGCTCCCGTGGCCGTCGGAGCCGGAGCGAGGTCGTTGCGAGGAACAGGAACGCGCGGAATCCGTGCATGCGAAGCTGCGAACCTGTTTGAGTTGGTTGTGTTTGGAGAGTTGGTTGTTAGAACATCCATTGGTACCCCATGCAGGTCCTCCAAGTTGGGGATTCCTCAAAACCAAACCCGACTCTTCACGAGGATCCGCATGGAGCCAGTCACCACACCCGGGCACCGGTGCCCGGTGCGATCTCTCCAGTCACGCCGCCCAGGACGCGTTGGGGATCCTCTCGCATGGAGCATGGCTCCATTCAGGCGGAGTCCAATTTCAGGAGTGACATGCGGTACCGAAGGGGGCAGGCATCGATTCTGAGTAGAGAAGACGAAAGGGCATCGAGGCGTCGTGGGCGATCGCGTCATGGACTGTGGATGGCAGGTGACGGTTGTTGAAGACACGTGGAGCATCGATGCTTGGGTTTTAGAGAGAGAGAGAGATGTTCATGATAAGTGGTGTACTTAGAGATGTGGAGATTTCGGGTTCACAACCTGGGACAGACCGAACCAGGTAGTACAGTAGTATTCGATGATGTTCGCAGTGAAAAGGTGGTGTGGGAATGCGTCAAAGACTCTTCGCGTTCAGGATCCGCAGGATCATGATCAGTTCTCTCTTAGACCATCTCTGCTCCATTCAGCACCTGCTTCACAAGAGCAAATCCCTTTCCAGCTCTTCATCTCTGCCATCAGGAGCACATGCCCTCATTCCAAAGAAGATGGCACATTAGCTGCTTGGGTAGGGCTCTCAGTTGGCAGCTGGTGGCTTCGCACATCTTTGCACCCCAAAGAAGCGGACATCTCTGAATCAAGTGGGCGAGATTTCAGTCCATTTGCGGAAGGGTTCAAATCGCCTAGAAAGATTAGAAAGGTCAGCAAGGTTTGCACGCGTGGCACGCGACTTCATAGTGGCTCTTCATTGCTTTTTCTTTGGGACTTGCAAGTTATCAGCCTGTTTGGCCGTCCAATCGGTTCCCCTGTTCTACTCGAGATTCGTGATGTCTCGTTTGCATACATCGCCTGCTGGGAAGAATGCCATCAAAGTGAGTAAACTGTTTTGGTGTCGAACAAAAGACAAGGCACTTGAGATATTAGCAAAGTGAGCGGCAACGTAGTGTGTGTACACATCACTACACACTTCGAACTTGGTTTTCAGTTAGACTCAATTGCCACGATGGGAAGGAAGGCGGTGGAACAGTATGGCGAAAAGTCGGAAGCAATTGTACGAATTGTAGGTGTTTTAACAAAGGCTGTTTCCCTTGACTGCGATGACC